AAAAAAAGGCATGAGAAAACATTGCTTACCGAACCTTAAGACTTAATAAGAAAAAAATTATCTTTTGTGTATGAAAGCATTGTAATGTTTACTGGTAATCTGCCAAATTTCATTAATGTACACTTACTAATTTCAAAGTTATTGCATGAAAACTATAACAAGCCCAACTTGTTTACGAGGTCGTTCCCAGGGGCCCGTGCTGAAAGAGTTGATTAAATTTTCTTAAAAATGGTGTATAGTTTGTGAAGTTAAGAATATAAATCATTAATTGTCTTTTTATGGTAAACTTTACAGGCAAAGTAACCACCACACTTATAAACTAGTGTATCTAAAAATGAAAGGTTATGATCTTGATAATGTTCATTAGTGAATTGAATACTGTTATAATTACTGTTTTGATACTCCAATGATGAATTAACACAGTCAGCACTCTTTATCTATGTATCATCAGTAACATAATGGTTTTTAAGCACAGTAGATATTCCTCCAAGATTGTTTTTCAGGAAAAAAAAAGATTTGCCAAGAAGGAACTAATTCAGAGCTCAAAGCAACATGTTCAACCTGATCTTTGAGATTACCATCTATTAAAGTTCACTAATTTCAAAAGTACAGATTTTGAAATACATAACCAATTGAGTTATTAATAAAAAATTAGTTCTTCACAATAAATCTTACTATCAAACTATAAATTTTGAATTTCATTAGAGAATTCAAAACTATCCTTCCAAGTGAGTGTATTCACTGTTAGTATACTTCTTCAGAAAACTAACTAAAAAAACCTGCTAATATATAATTTAAGTCCTTATATTTGGAACCATGGTCTTAATCAATGTCCTTCTTTATGCATTTTGTAAAGACTAATAATTAAGTTGTTCAGGACACTATGTTGTTATTAAAACAATGTGTATTGAAGTTATGAATATATCTTATTGAATTATCATGCAGATCAATAAATTCTAAGTTGTACAGTATTCATATCTGCCTTTTTGTGTACTTTATCCTATTTAGTTTGTTAAATTTAGAATCATCTACATGTAATCTGTAATGTAATTTGATTAAACTTGGCAAAATTAGATTCACTTGTAAGTTTTATGTGTAGATCAGATTTGACATACTAAAAGATGCCTTTTCTGTCGTGTCAGAACCGTCTTTTATGATTTGTGTTACACGTGAAAATGTCTTCAGAACATATAGCTGCACATTTTATCAAACCATGTAAGTGTATTACAGCTAGAAAAGGTACGTTTGTCACATTATCAAAACCTTGTATTCCACATGATCTAATTTTTGCAGTTTCAAAACCTTGTGTCTTTGAATTTGTTAAATCGTTTATGGAAGTACATGGTTTTGGCATGACAGTAATCATATGGTAAAGGGCATTATGTATGAAATTGATTATATAGTAAACTTTTATTTGATTCCAAATAAATATTTGTAGTTGTTGGTTAAGAAGATTTCTGTCTTTATTGTTTACTTAGGTAAGGACCCAACATGATTTACTGTTGTTTTTTTTTTACCAGAGATGGACGCCTTCAAGTGGGGGATCAGATCCTGGCCATTGATGGTCAGCCTTTGGACAGCAACATTTCTCATCAGCAAGCCATAAGTATTTTGCAACAAGCTCGAGGATTGGTGGAGCTTGTTGTTGCACGGGGTGGAATCCCAGAAAGTGATCAACTTAAAGAGGTGACTCTTGAACGATCACCTTCAGGTGTGAGTGACAGCTCCAAAGGCTCTGACATGGTGGTAGGTGTAAGTTTATCTCCATAATTGCTTTTTTGGTGCTGTATTTAGTTTGGAATGTACTGTTAACATAACACAATACTTTTGGTCTTATTTAATAACAGTCTTTGGTGATTATTATAAGTTTCTTATATGGCAGTACAAGTTGCTTAGTATATAAACTCCTTCTATTTTGTTATTTGTATATTTGAAAATTTTACCCTTTCTAGGGTGTGAAACTAACATATGCCTGGTGCCAAATGCTCCTAAAAATCACTTAGGGCATGTAAAAATTTAAAAGGATGTGCCCTCCTGGCAAGAAAAAATATAATGACAGTCATCTCATAGATAAAACAACATTGTCAATTATGGCCAGTATAAAGGGGAGCGTACTTTAAAAATAAATCAAGGTTTTAGAATTTACATTTTGAATTTATGATTTTGAGGCCACAAACCAATGCAAATTTAGGATTTCTTTTGCTTATATTGTCTATTAACTTCTAGATCACTTGGCTGATTTTTGCTAAGTTTCCAAGCAAAATATTACCTGCCCAGGATTTGAATATACATTGGACATTTTCAGAATGTTAATGCAATTTACAGGCTGGCGCTGTGTTAAATAGCTTGCCTTGGTTACTGAAATAATGTGTGTGTGGGGGGGAGACTATATAGTTTCATAAGGCATTTATTATCTTGCTTTATAGTATAGGTAAGCAGCAGTTTATGCATGTCACTTTCCAACCTAGTTAAATCTCTGTATATGTTTACACACACCTATGCCTAGAGCTAGGCTTAAATTAGTAACAGTAAAATGATGCAGATGGTCTTGTACCAATCAGAAGGCCTAAATTTAAGTATTACAAAATTTCTAAGCTATGTAATGATTTTTTTTTAGTATCATTACTACAACAGTAGTATGTCTTCCTCTTATTATATACTTCTTTTGGCTTATGCACAATCCAAGCACTAGACTTAAGCCTTGATCTGAAATGAATCATATGGTGTCTACATACAGTTTCAATTTGATACTTATGCTCTTGATTACTTATATCCAAATTAAGATCTATTGATGTTTAGCCTGTAGTCATGTGATAGAATTTACCCAGCATAGGAAAGTCCCTGGACAAAATAATAAAAGAAAAAGAAAAGAAGAAGAGGAAAAGGAGGCAATGAATAAGTAATTGCAGTGCATAGAAAAGTGATAGTGTGGGAGAAGATATGAAATTTCCGAAACACACCTCGTCTCATACTGAAGCTTTATCCCGATGAAGGTTTCTCTTCTCTGCCCATCTAAGCATTGGTATGAATCTTACATCACTTGCTCCAGCCTTTATACCATACTATATTGCCCAAAGCAAGTTAAATCTTGTGATTCTCTCCGCTTAAGTCAATGCACCGCCTATGCCAGATCCGTATATGAGCCGTATATATTTGGACTCTATTTTTCCTGTACCTTCCTTTGCATAGATAGCTAATTATGAGGCCTTGTATGGACATTCCACCTCTTACACAACCTTTTTGCAACCAGTACATAAAGTTTGTAGTATCTTGGGCATTTCTCTTGTATCTTACGACTCTTCTCCTTCTTTGTTGGGGGAAAGTCATTTCAGTTCATTACTTGGTTTTTTCCACCTTTGTCTGTCATTGCTGGGCATGCTCAGAGATTTGCTGATCAATTGAGAGAGGGTGCTACCATGCTTTGTCTTCCCTGTTTATTGGATCAGAATGCCTTGGATTTTCATTGCTTGGAGAACCCAAATTAGATTATCAGAGGTTAGACCTTCTTCTGCCTATTTGGGGTTCTCGGCATGATACCACTGTTCACCTCAACCTAACTCTGTTTTCTTGAATTTGGCTGTCTCTTACAATAATTTTGCATTTTTTATCTTCTTTGCTAGGTAATCAGATCCTTTTCACGTCATCTACACTCACTATTATATGTATGACTGGTTTTTTCTTGCTCCCAGTGAACAAGAAGTAATAACGGGGAGTTTATATACAGATCTGGTATGGGGAGCACATTGACGTAGGTGGAGATAATCACAAGATTTAACTTGCTTTGGGCAATATAGTAGAGTATAAAGGCTGGAGTAAGTGAGGTAAGATTCATACCCATGCTTAGATGGGCAGAGAAGAGAAACTTTCATAAGGATAAAGCTATAGTATGAGCAGAGGTAAGTATTATCAGAATACATTTTCAGTGGAGGAAAAGTGAACATTTGTAACAATAAATGGACACATAAGTTTTTAGGGTTTCAGTTATTTGACACAAAAAATCCACTTATGTTACCTAAATATTTTGATGACTGTCTGAGTGGTAAGGTCATTTTGCACTCTTCTTCTTATTGGTGGGAAGTTAGGCATTGAACATGGTATATTGATACCACTACTACAACTGAACTTGAAAATATTTGTTAAATTTGGTTTTAGATGACAAATATAAGGAAAATATGTATAGTAATAGTTAAGTCAAAAGTGATTGTACATAGGCAAATACTTTGTTCAGTTATAATCAAAATATGTGTGTATGTATATTAGTATAATACAAAAAACTAAAGACTTGAGCATCACTGAACAAAATTGTTGAATTTTACAGCAGACATCATAGTTTCCCATAAGCATAGAGGACAAGGTAAAATACACTGAAACAAAGTAAAATTGAATTGGTATCTCATATTTGTAGCATAACTTCAGACCAGGAAAACAAAACAAGTAACATAACTTAAATAGTTACTCTATTTGTGCAAACATAAGGCTTCTATATTCCATTTATAGCTATCATACTGTATTTGTTAAAAAATGTGAATATATTTAGTAAAAAAGGTTAATTTATTGTTGTTGTTTTTTTATTGATGAAAACGTCTCATGTAGAGCTGTTGTTTATTTTATGGGGGGGAGGAGTATTGTAGCCATTTCAACATATAATTCTAAAACTGATATTACTTGATATACTGGTTAAAAATATAATTGTTTTCACTGTAGTATTTTAGAAACTTTAAAGTAGTTTAAAAAATCTTAGTATATTAGAATTAAGTATTAAATTAGTGAATCATACAGATTGTTTCATTTAAATGGACTTTTATTTGTAAACCTTCTTTGGCATATTTCTTAAAATACAAGAATTAATTACATATATTTTAAATTCATCAGTCAAATTTTAAATTTAGACATATTACCTAACCCATGTGTATCAATACTAGTGTGAAGTTTAAATGAAAAAGGTACACTAGAAAAAATATTCACATAGTTGAGCATTAACAGATTAAAAAGTCTAGTTAATGAACTGTAGAAGATAAGAATTTTCTAAAGTTTATTGTAGGTGTCTTTGACAGAAACATCAATAAAATATATAAATTTTATCATGAGTTATGATAACGTATAACCTGTATTTTACCATTGTAAACTTAAAGTTATCATCAGTATCACAATTTATCTAACTGTAAATTAATATTTTAAGAAGTACTGTAACAGGAGTGTAAAATCTTGACATAATAAAATTATAATTTACTGTGTCAAGGTTTTACAGTCAATAATGTTTACAAATAGTTTGTGAGGATAGAATTTGGATTTGAAGAGCTCAGACTTATTGCTTGAACCTTTTAGGATTATATTCCTTATATATTTAACATGAGACTAAGATCATGTTTTTCTAAACTTTCAAATGTTTTCAGCTAAACACAGAATGGGCTCAGGTGGAATCTATCAATTTGGTGAATGATGGGTCGGGTCTAGGATTTGGAATTGTCGGAGGTCGTAACACAGGTGTTGTTGTGAAGACCATTCTTCCTGGAGGTGTGGCAGATCGGGTTGGTAGCTCCCTTCCTTTATGGTTTTTTTTTCATTATATTTCATTGAATGAACCATTCTATTTTTAATAAAAAAGAATGAAAAAAAAATTGGAATTTTACAGAATCGAGTGTTTTTAGTTTTAGTCAGTTGTATCGCCAGATGCATGAACACATATACAAAGAAATTGTGTCTTATAAATACATACACATTCAAAAGGAATGTAAGATAATTTCATGTAAAATAAATTCCTTACCATTTTAACCTTTACAAAAGGAGGGGTGTCACTGACATAGCCTCACTTTATATATCCTAAAAGTGGAAATACATAACGAAATTGGATGAAACTTGTTACAGACTTATTAAATAGTATTTTGTTTTGCCTTTAAAAGTTATATTTTTTGATTAATGTTTCCATCATTTTTTAGATGGGAATTTTCTAAAAGTTTGTTCTGAGATACTGTTTTGAAAATTTTTTTTTAAAATACTTCCTTTTGTCTTAAATTTAAATTTTTGTTGTTGGTCAAAGGTTTTATATGATATATCCAGTCAATTTCAACTTGACTGACATTCATTAACATATTACTACTGATACTTTATCTTGCTGATTGCATAAAAACATGGAAAAGATTTATTGGGCCTTAACTTTCAAAAGTTGTCATCATTACCTTTCTTGGTTGAGAATCATTTTATATATATATATAATAAATATAGTTTATTTTAACTAAATGATAAGTGCTTTTATTTTTTTTTGCATTGTTTGAATATGATAAACCTAACAATAATATTCAGTAAATAAGGTTTTAATTCATCAGAAATGTTGTGAATGCCTACAATACTTGCTAAACCTAACTAAGCTTACTTTATGTCTTGCTATAAAATATAATTTCTGTAACTTATAAATACATATAATAAAACATGAAAAAATTTTCACGAATGAAAAGAACATTTAAATGAATTGTAAAAACATTATCTGTGTTTTGTTCCTAAGTCTTCTAAATCTTCCATTAAATTTCTTTGTTCATCCTCTAGAAGCTCCAGGTAGTCAGTACCTCAAGAAACTATAAATTACTTCTCAAACCACTTTATTTATTTTACACTGATTCAGATAGTTTGTATCTATTTTATCCGATAATGTTTAAACACTGTTTCTAGCTATTTGAAAACCTTATTTTCAATACTAATTGCTCAGACCATGTGTTGTGACATCATAAAAGGATGGCAAGAAATGGTAGTAGTAATAAAACTATTAACAGAAAAGAAAAATCATGTGACAAATAAGACATTGATAATTATATTCTCAAGGGTTGATAGTTTTTAGTAAATATAAACCTAAACTTTGGGATGGGCAGAAAAATTCTAAAAAACAAATTGTTTAATACATTGTTTACAGGTAAGACTCCTTGGAACTGTACAGAAATGAAAGTTGGAACATGTTTATCATTTTTCTTTGCAAATTTCCCTAAAAATATGCTATAAAATTATAAAAAACAATTGTGAAATAATTTTGAGTTAAAGTTTGTTAAAATAGTTAGAATTATTATTTTACTTAATTTTTGTAATTTGATATGCAGGCGTGTACTTGACTTCCAGAAGGTGCTCACTGGTCATAATAGGGTTAAAGCATTCTGTTGTTCAATATTTTCGTCTAAAGTTTTTTTTTATTAAATGTAAAACATGATTATTTAGCTGATGGCAGTAACTTGCTATATATGTCAGTATGCTAGTGATTCATTGATTAAATATTAGCATGTCAGGTGGTACTAAATGAACTAGTTTGGATAATTGATGAATAATTTTGAGAGTAAAGGTAATTTTTCTTACTGTATTTATTGTCAATTTGGTGCTTTTGGAAAAGGGATGGTAGAGAGGAACATAATATGGAAATACCATTTCATTCTTGTAAAGATGAATATTACTGGTATTTACGTAGTATTTGGGTGTAACATCCTGAGTGTATAATTTGGGTTCTTTTTGTCTTTTGGCATTGTTATGCTTCTGACATGTGCAAGTCTACATAAATAAAACCTATTCTTTGTTTGTAAAGCTCCCTTTGTCTGTGACACTTGATTCTCCGTTGGTAATGTTCAAATTGGCTCAGTGGTTTGTCTTAACCTGTTACCTGCCGTGGCTATTTTGTCTTATCGTGAGGGCAAAATCACATTTATGAATTGAAAAACATTATAGAGAACTTATCTTTTATTGGAAATCCTAAAATATGTTTGAGACTGTACATAAGCACCCTCTAAGAAGAAAATTTGTTTTCAAAAATGTTTTTTTAATTTTTCCTTTTACTTCAGCACTGGTCCTGCCATCTATGATTGGTATCTAAACCTTTTTCTAGTCTGTTTTCTTTATAAAACTGCATCTGGGCGTGTTAAACCTCAGTTGTAAAACTTTTAGCCAAT